AGTGGAGTCAAGACCCCCGCTGAGACCGACAATTCCGGTTGGTACCCGTAGCAAAGAATTTAGGTAAGGTCCGTACACAACAATTTGTCCAATTACGTTTTGTGCGATAACTTCTTTTCGAGAAAGAATGGGAACGTGAAACAACGATAGTCGTGACCGCCTCGTCGAGATACGTCGATAGCTGCAGAGTTTTCTTAATTTCGGCGATATGCAACATTTTTGGCGAAAATCATCCACGGAGCCCCCTAAACACGACATACCTCCCCCAAATTCATCCACGGAGCCCCCTAACCTTCCCCCCGGGACGCCCACCACCCTTCTCAGTGCCTGCTTTTGTACACTACGGACACCACATGATTGGATTTGTACAGATAGCACGAAGAAAAGTTGGTCGACGACACCCATAGGGAGAAATACCATCACTTCTATATAACTTTGATGAATCTTTGCACACACAAACGAAAATATTTATAAAGCAGTATTGTTTACTGCTGTATATTGCTAGTACTCCGTATACAAGATCGGCACGAAGAAAGGAAAACACGCACCAAGCACACAACACAACAAACCTCGGCCGAGCAATTAAGCAAAATTTTGTGCAGCACTAAAAGACACACATCACTACGCATCGTTCTCGGCCTCTTTTTCCTCTCCCTCCTGCTCCATGGCCCGCTTCTTCTCCTTTTCCTGCTTCCACTTCTTGAATGTCCTTTTCGCCCTCCTGACGGAGAAGGTTCGGCATTCCTGCGAAGCCGCCAACGCCTGCGCCGCCGCGGCGTCCTTTTCCGCTTGTGTTTTGCGCCCTCCCGTTGCCTCCACGACGGCATCCCCTCTCTGGGTGGCTTCTCGGTGCGTGTTCCACTCCTTGAGTTCGCGGTNCACCCCTGCGAAAACAATTCAAGTTTTTCCGGTTTTGCGCCGATAAAAAGTCAAGAAAAAAACAAAAAAACGAAAAACTCTCCGTCACGCGATGCGCCTGCAAACAGGGCGTTTTCCGGTACTTTCAGATTTCGGAACAACCACCTGTGGGCAGAGAAAAGTTGTCATTTGTGCTGGGAAAATTTTGGATTTTTTGGTGTGCACGGACTAGCAGTTTGAGTTTTGTTGGGTGTAGTCGCACAATATGGGAGGGCATCCATTGTGGCGTTAATAACCCGATGTTAGCGAACGTGCATGTCTCTGACAACCTCCCCTCAACAGTCGCTACCGTATGTGTGGGTCGTATCAATGTTTTTTCGTTACTGTTTGAATCGGTCGAGTAGCACATTCGCAACAACAGCGGATCTCCTAGTAGTCTAGATGCCACGCGTGAGCACTTTGTTTGGTATTTCACGCGCAGTGACGTTTTAGGTTTTGTTTTCTTCTGATGTTCTATTTGTTGCATAAATAAGAGGCCGGTGCAACGCTCGCAAACAACATTGCGCCCCCCCTGACAACGCAGTAGGTTGAATGATTCGTATGCCTGTTGTTACTGTGTTTCAGCCAGTGTTGGCATTTCAATGTTTGTTTGTCTTCCCCTGAAAATGTTGAGATGATCATCCGAACCATCGATGATGTAGCTTGGTCCGCTTGGTATGACGGTATGTTCAGGAATTTGAGTAGTTCAGATGCCAACGCTGGCGCTGTATTTGGCCTTCGTTTGTAGGGGATTGGAGTGGTTGAGATGACAACGATGTTATATTGTTTGGTAGTCGTGGAAGCGAGGAATTTGGCTTGGAGGCCGGGTTTTCCCTTGCAACGCCTTGTTTTCCTGTTTCATTTTTCGGTAGTGTCCGAGTACGTTCAGCTACACACGGTGGTGGTTAATTACTATCGTAAGGAACCGGGTGTTCTTGTGTGTACATATAATATATAGGAAGGGTCTGAGGAAGGTTCTGTGTTCCGTACATGAAGGGACCTGCTGTGGTACCTGTTGTGGTAGACTTGGATGATTCTGTGGTGCCCCCATGCTGCGTCAGCTTGTGTGGGGCACTCTCAGCACCACACGGAAGGAAACAACATATTCGCCTGATTGAGAGCGAAGTATCTGATTGAGAGCGAGAGCCAAAAAAAATGAAATTTCGGGTCCAGACGCCTCTTGCCATTTCTTGGCAAGTAGGGGACGGGCTATTCCAAGAAGCGGTGCAAATTGAAGGTCTCATCAGCAGCTTCGCGAGCATATGCGTGTCATCGTCATCGGATGCTGCAGCGAGGAGCTAGACAAGTTGCTAGATTTGCCCAGATTGGCTATTNTAAAAATGTACTCCCGTGCCCCTCTACCCTGTACAACAGTAATTATACCATACACACACACCTCAAACTTGGAACATGTCGAGGAAAACTGTTACAACGTAGTCAGGCACAGTTTACCTTAGGTGCGACTGCGGCAACTAGCCTTTCGTAGCAATAATACAGAAAGAAGAGATGGTACTTAGCAGAGAACATGAGCACAGAGTTTCAGCGGAGATAATTTGGCAGGCGAGACTGTAGTAGCATGTATTCTCTTGGTCTAGAAATATTGCGGAAGCATGCTAGGTCAAGGTCGACCGGGACATCTACGTAGAACGTATGTAGCTTCCGGAAACCTTCTGGAACCTTCTGGAAGCGTTCTAGACCCAGGTTGAACGTAGAAGGGCTTCCAGAACCATTCTGGAAGCATTCAATTCTAGATCTGTTGTGTGATTGGCTTATTTGTCCGCTATTCGACGAGAAGAGCGGTGCAGCCCTAACCTCACCACCCCTCCCTCTCCCTCTCATCGAGCATCCATCAAAGCCTGACCAGGGAGTCAGTTGATGAGAACATCTATTTTATCAACATTTCTCTTTCCGAAGCTCGCTCGGGCCTACCGCTTTCACAGCAGTGTAACCTCTGTGATAGACTACAAGTCTACGAGCTACAGCAGCACCGCGGTGACAGCAGTGTAACCTCTGTGGTAGACTACAAAGTCTACATATGGTTTTTCCCCCAAAAAACGTCCTCAAAGCGGGGTTGCGTCCTTAAAATTCAGGGGACGATANTTTCAGCGGAGATAATTTGGCAGGCGAGACTGTAGTAGCATGTATTCTCTTGGTCTAGAAATATTGCGGAAGCATGCTAGGTCAAGGTCGACCGGGACATCTACGTAGAACGTATGTAGCTTCCGGAAACCTTCTGGAACCTTCTGGAAGCGTTCTAGACCCAGGTTGAACGTAGAAGGGCTTCCAGAACCATTCTGGAAGCATTCAATTCTAGATCTGTTGTGTGATTGGCTTATTTGTCCGCTATTCGACGAGAAGAGCGGTGCAGCCCTAACCTCACCACCCCTCCCTCTCCCTCTCATCGAGCATCCATCAAAGCCTGACCAGGGAGTCAGTTGATGAGAACATCTATTTTATCAACATTTCTCTTTCCGAAGCTCGCTCGGGCCTACCGCTTTCACAGCAGTGTAACCTCTGTGATAGACTACAAGTCTACGAGCTACAGCAGCACCGCGGTGACAGCAGTGTAACCTCTGTGGTAGACTACAAAGTCTACATATGGTTTTTCCCCCAAAAAACGTCCTCAAAGCGGGGTTGCGTCCTTAAAATTCAGGGGACGATAGCTCCCCATCCCCGTGGTCAATGGAGGCATGCTATACCTCACTGAAACTACGCGTCTTTTGCTAAGGAATGGTGTGGCATGAAAAGTCAACATCGCCGAGACGACTGGCAACCGTTTGCTGACGTCGAACATATTTACAATACTTAAAAATGAGTACAGCAGTCGGGGACGTGTTGAAAACATCTAACTACAGTACAGAAGTTTGCACTTTTTCAACCAATGTACTGCATAGCCGGTAGCGGAAGAAGGAGGAAGTCCAAGAAGACACATATTTATCTCATCCTTGTGAAGCAATAAGCAACGAGCGTATGTCAGCGTCGCACCGAGGAACACCAGTGTTACGCTTACAATGTTACGGTTGATAGGAGTGGCACCTTTGGGAGAGTGCGTTTTTCCCAACAGGTACTAGTAGTAAGGTCCGGTTTGCCGGGCCCCGTCTAGAGGCTAGGTTGGTCAGCCCCCTTGCCTCACTCCTCTCCTTGCTTGCGCTGAGTTAGCAATAATCAACAAGCGAATACAGCATCCACGACCGGAGACCTTCTACTCCTTCTCACAAGCCACCTTCGAGGCTCCTACTACCGCTGTTCCGGCTCATCTACCGAACTCGGTACCGATCGAGAGGCCGCTATCATCAGGTCGGTAGCAGTGCTTGTAGGCTGGGTCCCATGTACATTCCTCTCTGGACAATTCCTCTCGACACCCAGGGTTCTGCCACTTGAATGGCTAGAGAACACACAGACCCACATAGACATAGGACCCGCCCCTATCCCTAGCCTCTTCTTCCGTTATATGGTGTCCAATCCGAGAATCGAAGTCGGGTTTCCACAGCTCTTCTTCCGTTATACCAGTACATATATATAATAACTGTCCCGGCGCAGACCAAAAGCTACACTTGGGCGACTTTTCCCTCCACATATCGCGAGGAGTTCCCTGAACCTCCCTCCGTGGCTTGGCTCTACGGCTCTGTTGAGTTTCATGAGTATACGAATGAACGGTCTTCAAAAGAAGGTACTGCGTCTCACGGTACTCGCCGCCTCTTCTCTTCGCGTGGTACAAATAGGATCGCACGTCCTCCAAGCGAGATTATTTTATTATTTTTTGGTCTTCACTTCAAATCAGCGCTCACAGCACTGGTGCCGTCTACTCCAACCCGTGGTCACACAGAACAGCCCCTGTCTACCCTCCCCTCCTGCGGTACTTTGCCTTCGATTTTTAATGCGAGAAGNAAAAGAAGGTACTGCGTCTCACGGTACTCGCCGCCTCTTCTCTTCGCGTGGTACAAATAGGATCGCACGTCCTCCAAGCGAGATTATTTTATTATTTTTTGGTCTTCACTTCAAATCAGCGCTCACAGCACTGGTGCCGTCTACTCCAACCCGTGGTCACACAGAACAGCCCCTGTCTACCCTCCCCTCCTGCGGTACTTTGCCTTCGATTTTTAATGCGAGAAGAATTCAGCACTCTCTTCCCTCTGTGTACACACGAACGAGCGCTATCCACTATTAGTAGGGCAAGAGCGGGAGCAAGAGAAAAACTCACTGTGCAAGAAAAGCTCGCTTACGCCGGGATTCGAACCCCTGACCTGACCTCTAGACGGGTTCGAGGTTTCCAACTAGACCACCGGGGCGACCGGTCAGAGATAACCTCGCCCTCGGCGAGGGACGAGGTTATGCACGACGTATTTTTTCGGCGGCATCAGATGGACCGCCGGTAGATGGGAGAAATCTATCCATACCAACACCCAGTTACAGCTGCAGCAGCAGACCGCTCGCTACTTCCGCTGTCTGGGCGTCGCTACTTCTGTATTCACTGTGATGCGTGGTGCATGCAAAGAACGGCCCGCAGGACATAGAAAGGGGGGTACGCGGCAGAGACAATAGGGTAACCCATTATCGTACATTCTGTCGGGACTCCTGGTGCTCGGCATAAAAAATTTCCTTAAACCGGAGAGTTTCCTTAACGCGAGTGTCCTCAAAGTGGGGTCGACTGCAGTTCCATAAGGGTGCAACCACCGACAACACACCCGACAAACCAACTACCCAACACCTTCCTTCGGTACATTCCCAGCAATACATGCAGATAGGTGCACAAAACGGTTACCACACTGTCTTGTTGACCGTGTTTCCCACGGGGGAGATGTCGCTGTATGCTGCTCGGGAAATCATGGAAACACAGGTAGCCTTCACTGACGCTATGGATTCATTGCTAATCCGTCTTAGAATCTTTTCATAGATGGAGATGGATTCGTTGTGTAATATGAAGAAAATGAAAAATAATAGAACTACTTCAGTTATCCCTCCAGGCAACCTAGAGAACCAAGATTTCATCGAAACACCGGCTCGCCTCGAAAAACATTCTTCGTTTTCATAATGTCGTGCTGCTTCGTATGCGTTCTTCGAGGTGCGCCAATACGCGGCAATCCACACTGAGTGTCGATGACGAGCACGCAGTTTCTGAGTAGCACCCACCAGACGAGCTATGTATAAAATACAGCGAGGAGAGAGAGGGAGATCGCACAAACACGCGCGCACGCACACAAACACGCGAATATATATGTCGAGCTACTGCAGCACAGCGGTACGTCGTACCCACACCCAGGGATCCATCCATGCTTTTATATCATGTGCACGCCCGTCCTCCCCCCAGAACACTTCAAGTACCGTGATGATGCTCTGGCACCTCCGCGTTGATATTTTTCGCTCGCTTGACTCCATTTATCGGTAGGATCTTTGGAGTGAACACCCCACCCAAAGCAATCGCCATCAGTCATCCATCCCGACGCGTCGGTATGCTTACAACCCGCATGGCAGAATACATGCACGGTGATTTCTTTGCTGCCCCGGTTACGGTCTCTGCTCTGGCGTATCTTTTCCTTCATTTATTGATTCATTGAGTGAGGTGCAACATTTTGAAAGCGTGTGGCCCGCAGATGAATGGGCTTCATCGTGTATTGGTGGGCTTTGCCCGCGATATTAGACTCCTAAAACTCTGTCCCGTTATATTTAATTTTTGCCGTACGTTCTTTGCGCTGTTGCCACGGCACCCTGCACGCAGCCGGCCATGACTTGAAAAATAAAGTGTAAATGGTCGTTTGCGGTTGGTTAATTTTCTGGTGCAAACATGAAGCACAGCAGGTCGAGCATTACGTTTGTATTCGATTGGCATGCACATCGTAGAGACAAATTTTATGAAATGAAAACTGCTGTCGCCACATCGTCCGTGTTGCACCTCGGTAGTTGTTTGTTGTTATTGTTTTGTTCACATCTTCAAGGAATTACTTCTTCAGATCGTTTCGGTGGCTACACAGGTGGCCATATCTCGGCGAGTGCAGAGGTACAAGCTCGCATTGCGCGGGCGTCAAGACGCCGAAAACAGGCGAACAAGATCGACCTCGGACCAGTCAACGCCAATGATATGGGGATGGAGTGTAGACGCATCGTAGAACGCGTTTTCGTTTGAAGTTGACGTCTTGTTTGAGAGTAGATGTGACAGATTTGCGTAGAATAGGGTAAGATGTTATCATGAACGGAGATGAAAGGGCTTTTCCAACACGGAGATGTAGCATGGATCAAAGCATTTGTTGGATTTCAGCTTTTACAAGCGGACATCAACGCAGTAGTATTTTAGCAAGCTTACGAACGCATATAGGATACCATCAGGATTGTCATTGGTAAGTTGAAGAGGAGATACTT